CCCACATGTACCTGCACGACATGTTGTTTGAAAGAATGAGCGAACATGTTGTTTGGAACAGGTCCAAGAAACCTCCCTGTCAGTGTTCCAAGGCCACCGTCGAACAAGCCAGCCGAAAGGCACGTTGCGAAACTGGGTGTCACAGTGGGAGGCGGCGTCAATTGGTCAATAAGGTTTGTCTTTGGTGGGCTGGGTGTAAAAATTATGTCATCCATCCATCAAATCTCAGAACTTTACTGTGGACTCAGCTTGCCCCCTTGTGTGACACCCAGAATACCAAACAATCAACTTGCAGTTTATGGTTTGCATGGGCCCGCCCAAAAATAGTTTTCCAGGTACAAGTGCTGCAATCTTCTGGCGTTGGATTGTCAGACCCCTCATTGCAAACCCGAATTTTGCTCCACTAATTATGGATGGGCAGCGTCAATTAAATACGTTCAAGGCCGCACAAGGCAGCCAACAAAACACACCCTACACACGGAGTAGACATGCTGTTGCCAGCAAACTTGGGAATCAAGTTTTGATTGACTCCCTTAATCTCCAATTTTGGAGCAAGACAAGCCCTTTCCTGCAGCCTAGTCGTAGGAAGAGTCTGGGCACTCAAGAGCTCGGTGGGTTCCATGAACCTGTGGTGCTCCTCCCAATCAGTTTCTTGTGATGCAGGATCGACATCCTTTCCACGAGTTCTTCATTGGACCTACTGACAAAAAACACATGCCGCCCAGTCCTCAGAGAAGAATTTGCTGCAATTTGTCGTCAGGGCCATGAGGGAACCATCCCTCAATTCGCCCCGCGGCCGGCCGTTCTTGGGATATTGCGTAAGGTCCGGATAGGCCATGTTTGCCATGGCGCGGTAGTCCATGAGATTTCTCTCCTGGTGACAGGTCTGAATGTTAAATGGGCACCTAGTTGGGAGCTTGAGAAACAAGCGCTAACAAATCATTGGGCTGAAGCTCCTCAGCAGCCGTGAGAGTTGTCTCGGGAATCTTCTGCCAGAAATAGTTTCCGGCAGTCAGCACTGGTTTGGCTGCAAGAGCCCGGACAAACTCGTCAAGGCGGAAGTCAGCAGTCCATTTCAAAACATTCTTCCTCCAACAAATGATATAGACCCTTGGCCTGGAAACCCCCATGCCAAAGATTCTCGGGTCGAGCCTCGTTGAGTCCATGGCCCATGAGGGACCTAAGTGGGACGCGACCAGTTTCTCCTTGTACTCCGGTACGTTTTCCAGGATAAGGAGATCATTGCACTTAGTGTACTCCTTGTAGTATTGCTCATGTGTGGCAAATGCGATGTCCTGTTCTTGAAGGCGCTTTCCCATAGCGCTGAAGGAAACGCACACCGGTCCTAGGTTTTCATACGTTTCAAGCATGACTCCAACAAAAACTCTGTTGTTATTTCCCATTCACTGCAATATCGGATCCCAACTCCAAGGCATGGGCCGGCACAGTTCACGCGGATACCTCATGAGGCCGGGTGGTCAAGAAGAAGCGGCAAACTCAATCCTTGTGTGGGTGTGGGTTCAACTGTTTGCTAAACATGGCTGAGTTGCGTCCCTTGCATTCGACGTTCTTGCAGAGCTTTTGATGGGTGCTGCAAAAGTTCCGATTTCCATGATCTAAGCACACCCCCATGATGTCAGGGTAGTTGCAATGACCGTATGTGTCCCTCAAGATCTGCTGGCATGGCTTCATGATCTCGCAGCTGGAGGTAAGGGTGACGTGGTTCGTTTTCAACCCCTTCCGGTCCCGACTCCTGTCGAAAAGAAACTTGCGGGCAGCATTCTGTAAAGACAGAATAGCCTCAGTTTCGGCGCGGCTATTAAATCCTAGACCCAATACGCCTACTCAGTGATGAACACAATAGAACACAATGTTGCACTCAGTCTGAAGTAAACAAGTAACATTCTCAGCGGCCCCTACTCCACTGAAGGCCGTGCTCATGCTCCACTTCCAAGTCTTGAGACGGTTGATGAGCCACTGCTCTCCATACTCATGAGCAATCACACTCAAGAACTGCTTTGGCCAGGTGTACGTGGAAAGAATGCTCCGGAAGCGGATCGGCAGGCCTTCTGCTGGGAGATGCACAGATGTTTTTGGATATCGAAACCTGAACACGGGATGGGATTGGGTCAGCTAGGGCGACATTTGGGTCTGAGTCGGAAGTTATTGGATTGATTTTGAATCGGAATCCGGGTGAAACTAACTAATGATCATTGGCATGACAGACCAACCACTGCTGACTGACTGTGTTTGAGAGTATCTGAGAGTAGAACAGCTTAGGCTTCTGCGGCTTCGGGGGCTTCAGGGCACTCTTCCTGACATGCCTGGCATCGGTCATAAACAGGTCCATAGGGAATCAAAACGTCGAAAAGCAAATCAGCAAATGAGTGCACTTGAAGAAGCTTCAACAGCTCATTACCGGTAATATTTACCAGCCTTGTTCGTCCCTTGGAGATGTGTTCAACTCGACCAACTCGAGCGGCAGGATTCCTTCATGGCAACATGGACATGGGTCACCTACTAACACTTTATTCGCTTTATTGTGACTGGACTACCATCATCATCGACCATCATGTCCTGGGGGTCCCATTGCTAATCAGTCGAACAGCTTCCCGCAGACTGCATTGTCTCGGCTTGGCCATTGCAATGCCAGGCGAGTGCAAACGGGTCCCAGGCAACTGAAGGCCGAGAAAAGGGTTCGACATAGAATCTCATTAGAATCTCATGCGTAGATCTTTAGAGTTTGAAGCATGGTCGGACTCCGGACATAGTTTTTTCGCGCCGGTCGCCAAAAGCCTTTCGCCGTGGTTCCGGAGCACGCGCTATGCACCTCATCTTTTCTTTGGATCAGGAGCCTCAAAGCGAAATTGCATGGGGGAAGTTCAATCAGAATCAGAAGGGCATGTTCTGTGAAAGAATTCTGACAGGTCTTCGGCCTCGGTGTCCTTGAACTTTGCATCTTCCTTTTTGAGCTGAGCCTCAGCAACGCGGATGGAAATGGGGTGTATAGTCACTGCATGGTGCAAGGGCATGCATCGACATTTTGAGAATTGAAACCCCGAGACCCAGACTAAATACTTGTGCCATTGATCAATGAGATGACCCTGCCAAGCGTTCAAACAAACAGGGTGCTAATGCGATATGTTTGTGGGCCTCCCCCGTGACTGATCAGACATGTAGACTTACCTGCCAGATATTGACTAAATGTCAAGCCTGACGTGCCGGGAATCAACAAGCCTGCGAGTCTTCATTGAACGACCAATGGTGTGGATCGTCTTGCGGCCAGTAGACCTTCAAACTCCAAATTGATGGTTTAGTGACTAGAACCGCACGGCGGTTTAAAGTGCCTTTGTGTCTTGAAGCTTCAACAGGGTTTTGGTCTGACATCACTCAGGCATGGGATGCATTCCAAGCCTTCTCCAGGACGGCTGGCGATACATGGGCAGCATTTGCGACCGGCGTTGAGGACATGCCTCCCAAAAGGATTGTTTGGCACACCAGGGCAATCAACCGGCCTTCAAAAACCTGACCTCAGAAGTTTCTACGACGACAAGCTTCGCCTAGTCGACGGACCAATTTCCCTGGGATCCTACTAGGTATTATGTCATGTCCAAAAATGCTTGCGGCGTAAACATGGACCACGGCTTTGCAAAGTGAAGCAAACTGGAGAAACTGGAGTGAGACGCATGCAATTAGAGTACCACCGTTCTTTTTCATGAGGCAAAAAGCACGACGTGCAGTCAGATCTAGCCAAAGGGAGTGTTCATAGTCACAGAAAACATCGTCAGAGTGGTGACATGTTCACATAATAATTGAAAGGAATTATTTCCCCGCAGCTATTACCTGATAGTTGCACGCAAACGCATCACTGGGGCAACCCTGCTAAATGCAGATGGGGCCCCCAATTGAATACCAAGCACTGCAGGTTCCTCTTCCAACCATTTAATGGGCGGAACCGCATCCGGCTCCAAGCCATTGCAAATCCCAATTAGAAACTCAACGGATCTTCGAGTACATTCTGTTGGGTCATTTTGAAGCAGCAACTTTGCCAAAAGAACGTAGTCCTTTTTTTTGGCAGGCTTTATGTCTTTCAGTGCTCGGGAACTCCAGGCAGTGGTCCCAGTAGGCTCAGGAAGCGGTGTGGAAATGCAAGCATTGGTTCCTGCAATTATTATTGGTCCAAGATGATTGAACTTTCCACCAGTCAATTGGATTTCAATGAACCAGTGGTCCGGTTTAGAATGACTGACATCTGCACAGCAAATGACTCCTGGCATAAATTATCGTCCGCTGCATTTCTCTTCACCATCAGGATGCAATCATTGTCGTGCATCTCAAGGCCCGCACCCCGACCAGTCGCCACGATTCTCAGGTTGGTTGGAATGTCTCAGTGTCAGAAAATGTCAAGTTTACTTCAAACCAAAGTCAAGACTTACCAGATTTCATGTTTAAGGTGTATGGGCCACTGAGTTGCTGACCAGACCGCCTCATAAAGATGAAGGCATGGATTCCAGTCTCATCAGTCTTGAGACCTCCGCTGAAGGTCACTGGTACAGAAGAAAGCCTCAGGACGGCGTGTTGATCTGAAGGGGCGACATGGAGAGGGTGACAGAGTCATATTATGAGTGTATAAAGGGTGACGAACTGACGAACCATTTGATGACCAAATTTAAACAAAGCGCCACTGCTTGTAGTTGCGAATCCCGGATATATAGTTCACTCGGATCGAAGCATCCTTTCCAATCCACTTGCGGACCCCGATTCGGTTCAAAATGGTGCGCACTTTCCTCGGGTGATGAAGGCTACTAAATACTAAGGACCGAGTCAATTCAATTTCCTCTGGGTTTGGGACTGGGCAACATCGTGACCATCGGCCAATACATCGATGTGCTTCATGGCCGTGCTGATCAATCCATAGATTTGGTCTGAGCGCAAGAACCACAGTCTGTAATAATCATATAACAAAGATTCAGTCATGCTGGCATAGTGACTCTTGCTGACTAGGTGCCACAAGCCGAATGGGTATGTCCCACCCGGCTGAAAAAATACCCGCACATGCGCATTCTTTGGCTTGTTGTCAGATATCCCAAGAATCGTAGCAGTTGCCCGTTTTTGTTCTCACGAACGCAGTTATCTGCCTAGGCTTTTTGGACTCTTACAGGACTCTAGGTATCACTGAACAACACCAAACTCAACACATCTCAACACGACAAACATACCCAATAGCCACTTAGTAGTAGGCATAACTAGGGGTTTAAGTAGGAATTACATTCAACCCACCGAGCAGTCCAAGGCTCCCAAACCAATAGTTGGTCCGGGCTTCCTGCTCCGGCGTCCTTGCATCGCTGCAATGCGAAATCGATGGAACGTGCTGCACATTCCAGGACCATGGTTGAGTCAGCGGCGACACGTGGGTCTAGGACCTTAGAACCACTCTTTTAGCAACGTTCAGACTTTGATCGTCTAGTAGATGTTAGTCAATGAACCAAAACTGTGATCGTCTCTTAGATGGTAGCCAGGGAACCCAAAGATCTAGGGTCACATTGAAAATCCAGATCCCCTGAATCTTCAACTGGGGTCGCTGAAGATTCATGGTGCTCTTGAGCGGCCGCTGGCCATCATATCTTGGTATTCGCCACTTGGATTGATCCATACCGTCCTGGGCTAGGCCCAATCTAAGCAAGTGCATGCATATAAACTATCGCGCGCAGCAACTGATGACAAACCCTTGCAGTGACTTCATGCATGGCATGCTGTGACAAGAACATGTCAAGCAGGAAACTCAAAACTTAATTCAACTCATCCCATCGACCCAGTGCATGCACAATGGGGATCCTGGAGTTGTAAGCGGCGTGGCAGTTTGCAAGAACTCTTCAAGATCCCTGTCTCTGGCAACTTCGTCTAGATGAGCCCTGTAAGCCGTTGCGTTTTGAAATTTGTCTGCTGGAGTGATTGCTTTCTTGAACCGGGACTTGAACGCAGCGCACGCATCGCACGTGCCGTGCGTCGAGGGTGGAAGGAATCGCAGAAGGTTATGCCAATGGGAACGGAACGTGTTCCAAAAATACCCGTAGCTGCAGCTGGCTTCTTTGACTTGACACTCCAATTGAAATTTGTGGTACAACATTCGGATTGTGCCGGGTGGCAACCAGTGCGTTGGTAGCTCGGAGAGCTTCGATGCGAAATTCGTCTCGATAGAACTGGTCCAAAATCCAGTCATCCCCAGGATGTGTAGCCGAAGCTCCTGATCTTCCTCTAGGGGCTCCCGTGGAATGACAATGTCTTCCTCCTCTGGCCCCTCCACTGAAGACTCTGAGGACTCAGATTGCTGATCATCGGCCTCGAAGACGACGGTCATCGTCTCCTTCTGAGCATTCCTCTTGCGGCTTCCCCTTTGAAACCTCACTCAACTGTGATGCTCGAACGAGGAAAAGTCGCAACTGTTCACGACTATTTGCAACCAAATGGCTTGTTTGGCAACATACCTGCTGCCTTCATATAAACATCAAGGAGGAAAAATTGACCCTCCTTCTCTTGCGCGCTGTCCGAGTTCGTGCCTAAGATTGAATGACTTGAATTGGAAGCTGCATGGACCAGCCGATAACAAGGAAATAGCAGGGTTCAATATGGGTGGGAATGCAAAAACGTCCTGGGAGACAACGTGATTAATTTGACTTGAATGCCGGACTAATGAATGCCAAATGTCCGTTCCATCTGATTTCCGCATATCCCGACGGTGCTGCGTGATCCGGTTGTAGCGATCGAGGCCCATGCCCAACAACGCAAGCGCACATGTCGGGGAGACAAGCTTTCCAAGAACATACCATGGCCGTCGCTGGCCAACTTTGTTCCCAGCCACGAAGAGAACCTCCACCCGACCAACCATTGAACTCAAGACCCCACAAAAAAAACATGCAATTCAACGATCACCATCAAATTTGATGAAGATTCAAGTCGAGCAACAAATGCATCCTGTGCGCCCTTTGCAAACGACCAAAATACTTTGAGGAACTGCAGAAGCCTTTCTAGCATCCGGGTTTGTTTGAACTTGACGAAACATATCCTCCGGTGACATCGGCATTGGTCCTGGCCAAGCAATCGTTGTACTCGAGCTGGGCTAGGGCCATTCTCAGCATGCCTTGGATTGTTTTCTGTTCCGGAGACCCGCGAAGCCTGATTCCCATGTCATGGTTGAAATTCACATCATTTAGCAAACTGGCAAGGTGCGACACTCGAGTCTGCTGGATTTTAAAGAACCTCCTTCTGGACCCATCATAGTTCGGCCGTTTTCGGAAATTCTCTGATCCTACAGGTTTGGGATGCTCTTCTGACATACCTCGGATTCCTTCGAAGCGTTTTAAGGCTTCTGTATCAAATTGCACGCAACTCTTGCCCTTTGGATCAACATCAAATGCATCTGGCAATGGTTCCTCAACCAGTGGCAATGGTTCCTCAACCGGCGTCGCCACCTCTTGGCTTGGTTCTGGGCATGAGGTCGGGACAACCTGTGTTGGCTGTGATGATGAAGCCAATGATCTCAAGAACCTCGCCGTGTGCAAGCCAATTTGTGAACTTTAAATTGAATTGTAGGTGATTTGGGTGTGGTGACTTGCAAGAGATTCAAAGCTTTCTTGCCTACTGAAAAGTGTTTTGTATGTTAACGATGATGGTCACACTGGAGTGGAACAGGTGACATCAAACTGTCAATTTGTGAGGCCTCTTCCTCTCAGCAGACATGCAATGGTCCTGAGCGGGCCGTTGGCTTGCAAACGCTCAATGAACAAGATCTCAAACACCTCAACATCAAACAGCCACCATAAAGCACCTGGACCCGTGGTGAAAAGGACAATCGACACCCTGCCCATCTTGCCCTGCCTCAGGATGAAGTGGAGTGGCTTCCCTGAACCTCCTGGAAGGACAGCGCGGAATGGGGCGGGAAGGAGGTTGATGGTGGGGAGGATTGGATAGAATCATCACTGAGTTACTTTTAGTCAGTCAGACTGATTTAATGTTAGTTCCCTTGCCGTAGCCATGTCATGATAGTCCTCCAATCGGTCTTCAACTGGCAGCCGCCGCTCGTGCAGGACGATGCCAAGATCCTGAATGGCATGAGAGGCCAAGGTGGGCGGAGGACGCGGTGAATTTGTTAGAAGACTTTCGCAAAGCTAGGATTTCGCAGAGCTAGGAGGTCCATGTTCCTTTGACCACCGATCCGGGATTAGTGCATGTCTCAGGGCAGGACTGATCTTGGCTGCACAGTCAGCTCACCAAGGCATGTACGTTTGGCAAATGGATGTTGACATGATTTTGTACTTAGACACACTCAGTGGATTTCGTGGCATAGTCTCAAAGTGTTCATTGTCAAATAGATGATGCACAGAATATCTAATGCCGGTTCGGTTGCGTTTGAGAAATGCTGCATTCAAAAACACGCAATCAAGGAATTGAATCAAGAACTGCCCTGATGAAGCGATTCGGCGGATGAAAGAAAGCCGCTCAGGCTTCGGACAGCATCGAATGAACTCGTCATTGGAAAGACCTGGCGGCGGGCAGTGGAAAAGTCAATCGGAGTCGACTGAACGTACGACCTCATCACCCGAAACTCCCAACAAAACATCCAAACCCATCCCATCCCTAATGCACTCGTCATTTAATGAATCATGATTCATTCTCTCATGCGATTCCGCGATGGACATAACAGGATGAAGCACATTAAAAACGCAAAGGAGAGTGGATGTACCTACATCAACGGAATGGAGCTGTCGTCGCGACCCAACATGTTAACATGCTTTGCCCGACCGATTCCTGAATGCTGTCATCATCGAAGGGTCGTTCTAAGACTCTAAGATTCAATGCCTGTTTTAGGCAATTCCAAGCTTGTCCAACTAAAGGACAAAATTCATGCCATGCTCCATGCACGGTTGGTTTGGGGATGTTTGGGGTCAATCAGACCAAGACAAATCCTTCATCATCGGCTGGCTGCTCCTGAGCCTGCTCATCTTCTGCTGGTCCTGGCCTTGCTGATGATGCTGATGCGGAATTCAGCCATTCGCCTGCTGGAGAGGCTGATGGCTGCGAGGTCATGGATGCTGCATTTGCAGCTGATGGCTGCGAGGTCATGGATGCTGCATTTGCCCGTGATGGCTGCGAGGTCATGGATCCTGCATGGATCCTGCATTTGCCGCTGGGTCTTCACGAATTGCAAGTACCACCTGTGGCGGCTCCCAACCCAAAGGAATCACCCGTGGCACCTGGGGAGGAGGTAGCGAGGGCGGAGGAAGCAAGGAGAACTCATCCAGGCACCCCATCAGCAGCATTGAACGATGCTGCTCGCGGAAGACCTTGGGCTGAGCTTCAAGCCTTCAAACCTATAGCCTAACTGTAAAATTATGTGACCAGAAAATTGATGAACAACTTACACAAAACAGGCTAGGCTGCAATGTGCGGGGCATAGGACAAGTCCAAAGTCCACACCAACCGCGGCAGCAAGTTTGCACCAAAGCAGCAGGCCCAATTGAGGAACTCGAAGCTGTTTCCATCATCTGCCATGCGCCACTTGCCAACTGACCCAATCGCTGGTTTCTGGCTCTTCGTCAGCCTTCTAAAGGTGATTGGCCCTCCAGCGGCCGTGAAGATAGCCCCCATAGGGGAGGCCCTCTGCCCAGAAGTCATTTCCTGCCGGTCAGACCCTTTCCGCTCACGCACATAGCACCATTCGTGCCACCGATTTGCACGGTGGTCTTTGAACTTAAAGATCCATGTCTTCTCGCCACTCTGGTGCACCTCCCTGTGAAGCTGTGGGTCAAGGTACATGTCCATGGCTCACGAAGTTCGAAGAATTGTCAGGTCAAAATGAAAAGGATTGAACATGACATGCAGACATGTTGCATAGTTGGAAGGTCTAGCTACTATGCGTGTCTTTCTGATAGAAAGTTTGTCAGAACGTGGAGTGTAGGTCGACCTGGGTGTCGGGGAATAATGCGTCCAACTCCGAATTAGGCAACGTGACGAGTTAATGTGACGAGCGGTGAACAAACTTGACCTGAGGGCAAAATGCCTTCGGTGTGAAAACTTGTCGCTCATGCCCGCTCCCTCACCTCAACTTGTCCCTTCTTCCCTCATCGTGTCTCCCGCTCCCTGGCCTCCTCCACTTTCAAAGTCACCAATCCACCGGCATGATCTGCCTGGTGATAGGTGAGGGGTTGGTTGATCATCGACAATCCTAACTAAACTCATGAGGATCATCCAAACTCATCCAAATCCAATTTCATTAAATTCAATGAAGTCTTCAACTTCACAATGCTCAAGCCCCAACCTCCAATCCCCGCCTCCAGGTGGTAGTCACATGCAACGGGGCTTTTGAACAAAAGTCGGACGGGCTACTGTAACACCTGAATGTAATATGATAACACCTGAGTGTGACCAAATTGACTTAATTGTAATTTCCTGTTGTGCGAGTTGTTACGATTCTAGCTTCTGCTCGACTTCGGCCAGGTTGCCAAAGCGGTGTTGGAGAAGACCGCGCCGTCCTAAGGGCAGTGTTTGGCATTTTCAGTGATCACCATGCGCGGGTTCCTTTAGGGAAAGGTTCAGGTGGATGCTAAGACCTGGGGCTGTACACTGTTTCTCATGATTGGTTGTTTGCAGCCAGCCGTATGTGGATCAGTAAGGTTGAAAGAACACCAGCAAGTGCCTAAGAGCAGTGTTTGGTGTGACCTTTTTCTTGATGTTGGTTTGGTCATAAACTGCTCCCTGTTCCTCTCTGGCGAGGTTAAAGAAACTCCATGCGCTGGCTCCGCTAACACCTAGCTCGAGTGCAGAGAAACCAGCAAGCGCCGAGACCGTGCCCTCCTATAAGACGATTGTTCGCATGCTCATTATTGATGATGCTTGGATAAGGCTGAAGGCGTCCCACGTGAACCGGGCGCAGCAAAGCAGGTGAATCCCGCGCCTTCCGAGAAGGATTCGTTGTGATTTGAGTTTCTATTTTTTAGTATGCCGTATACCTTTCAGGACTTCAAACCGTTTGACATATTGCACAAAATGCCGGAATATTTCCCTGAGTCTTGTCTTCTAAAATCTAAGATCTAAGCTTTGGACGATCTGCGAATGTATTCTGAGCATTCTGAGCGATTGTATTGCCAGCTGTTTGTTCTGCTTTTCAATTCTGTGCGCGAGCATGGGTTGTGTGAGGTTTTATGTATTTTCTTGCTGCCCAGGAAATCGCTGAAGCTGCGCACGCGCCACCACCACATCCGAATGATCAGGCTCTTTTAAAGAGTGGCATCAAGTCGGCAGGGAAAAGCAAGGCCAAGGCAGCCGCTGAGACCACTTACTGTCTGAAGCTCCATAAGCGGAAAGATTGTCCAACGGCGGTTGCAATCTTCAACAAGAAGCGAAAGAAGCAGATTGTCCAGCTTCTGGACAACGTCGTTGATGATTGCGGTGCCAAAATGGAAGGCTTTGTGAAGGAGCTCAACGATGGCACGATGGATGAACCGAAGGTGATTCAGATTGTAAGTGAAATGAAAAGGAGCCAGGCTTAAACGCCAAGCCCATCTTCCCGGCGAAAACCTTTCAGAGCCTGGACGCGAAGGAAAAAACACGTTTAGCCTTGAGATGGCTTGATATTCATATGAGTGGCAAACTACACTGGTTGGTGACTTGCACTTCTTGTGCACCTTTGCCAGGCCATGGTGACCCAGTCACTGATTCTACCAGGCCCTCGAAACGTGCCCTCCTGTCCTTGCTTTGTCAATCAAAGATGTACATGTGATCGGATTATGCCCTGCCTTGAGATGATCTGGTCTGACTGAATTTTGTTCAATCTAGGACAATGCAGAAATGTCATATGATGGGAAAGAACATCCACCAACAGCAATACCCAAGGCAAACACATGGCATATTGAGTATATGATGATCAGTCCAAGGCAGCCATCAGCAGTGAACATGGTAATCTGCACACATCATTTTGAAATTTGACTTGGTTCACAACTACAACTGGATACCAAAGCATGGCGTGCCACGATTGCTCGGCTTTGCACTTGGAGTGGTGCTGTGTGCAGCTGGACATTTTGCAGTTGCGTGAAGTCTACGGCATGATGACGATGAATCTGCCTAGATCTTTGGTGTTGTTAGTTCTTTACACCTATGTACTGATGACAGTTGAGTGCGTGGAGGCGAGGTACATTAATTGAAAAAGGTTTGAGAAGTAGGTTGGTTTAGTGGTTTCCAACATCCCGCCAGTGAAGTGCCAAGACTGCCTTGTTTCAAATGTGGAAACCCCAGGATTGGATGACATTTCCGCTTGGAGGTTTCCCCATCGCAGCGTCTTTTCAAACTTACTTTTCCCCCTTCTGTGTCAAAAAACAAGGTCTCTGTTAGGATCCGTGACGCGTTGGAATCCTTGCGGAAATCTGGTCAAAGCAAAATTCTCTTGATCTTGGAGCTGTCCGGTTGACAGAAGAGAGATTGAAGATGTCTTCCACTACATATCCTTCCCTCGACCCCTTGGTGAAAGCTGCTAGAGGGAGAGTGCTGTTTGAGTTCGTCACCAAGCTCTGCATCGGCGTGGTTTCTTTCCTTCTTATAAAGCCATTTCCGTTTTTGGATGATGGTTGCCTCAATTGTGTTCTTTGAACTGTTTATGATTTAGTTCCGTATTCCAAAAACCCAACAATGGTCCATGATCGAGGAAAAGAACTTGGCAGCTGATCGCTCTAATTTCGATTTGCATCGTGCTCAGATGCGAGCATCGATGTGCTGGGCCTTAAGCACATGCTTAAGTATTTGGTCGAAAGGTGGAAAACCGAAGCTAACGGAAACAGAAGGCGATTTGACTGTCTACCTGGGACGTGCACACGTTCGAAGGTACACGGCGCTTGCAGCAAATGCACTTTCCCGCGGGCAGCTCTTGTACAAATTAAGGCCGAAGGTTCACTATTTCCTTCACTTGCTGGACGAATTGGAGCTATGGTCCAACAATCCTTTAAGTCAATCCAACTTTATCGACGAAGACAACATGAAGACCTTGAGAGACGCAGCAATCCGTTGCCATGCCAAAACTGTAAAAGTTTCATGGTGCCGGAGATACATCTTAAAGAAGGTGTTGACCTGGCAGAAGTTGAAGGCTGCTAGATGATAAAATATCACGTTGCTTACATGCAGTTGCTGTGCAGTTCTTTGCGGTCTTGTTTTATATATGACAGTTGCTCGCACACATGCAGTCGTTGTGCAGTTCTCTGTTGTTGAAACCTTTGGCGGTGTGCATACATGCACAGTGAGTTGAAAAACAACAAGTATTGACTTGTCAGTAGTCTCACACATATTGAAACTTTGCCAAGAACATGCGTGCGCAAGCATGGTACAAATCATTCGCGCGCAGCTTGCAAAAATAACGAAACAACCTGCACACCAAACAGGGTTCCAAACAATTTCCCACAGAGTTGTTCTTACTTCAAATGACACCTTTTGAAGCACGTTTTCCACACAGTGAAGCGTAACAGCACCACTACTATAATGCATTCGATCGATCACCCCTCTAGAGGTTCCACATTTTTTGCAAGACTTGACCCCCGGTTACGGGAAATGTAACAAGTGCCGTGATGCAGCTGGCTGTATATTTACAAACATGCACTGCATACTGTGAACCACACTCCAAATCACAGAGCCTGGTCTATGAGACACTGGGTGATGCAGGTGCCAAAAGCATATGCATATGTACAGGTCCTAGTCCGCAAAAGAGCAGGTACGTGCATGCAGCTGCTCAGGCTGCACACCCTGAGGTGGCCATATATGAGCTTCGTTGGGCACAGCTTCGTTGGGCACAGTTCTATGGGCCTCCCGTCGCCCGCGCCCCCCTGCTGAGAAAGTATTGGAGCCAGCTCCAATGCAGTGTCAAATCCTGGAACAAGGCAACGCATGCCTTCCAAACATGCGTGCAAAACACAGATACAACCCTGGAGCCCTGCAATACAAATAAATACAACCTTGGGCTGCCACTATAGCCAAGGTTGTATCTTGTGTTCCAGGGTTGTTGAATATACACCCAACCCCCAAATTGGAATCTCCAAGGAGATGGGGCTGACATAAAATCTACAAACCCTCACCTGACAGGTTGGGAAAAAAGGACTGCCGCTGCAGAAGTGGTCAGTGCCTCAAACAACGGCGGAGGCCAAGGCAGGATCTCTCTCCTGGAAAAGGCCCTCCAAGGCAACCTGTGCATTCCTGACCATCTTCCGCAACTCCTCAAGAACAGGATTCTGCAGCTTTCAAGCACACGTGGAGAGACATTATATTATAGTTACTACTTACTACTGTTCTTAGATGGTGAACGATCCTCAATTCGGCTCCTTGTCAGGTCCTGTTAACTCCTCTCCTTGGTTTTCGAGAAAACGAATTGTCGATAGTAGCAAAAAAGAAATGGGTGATGGGCACTTCGGGTTTACTCACCTAGGGAATCAAATGTAACCATTTAGCTTCGTTTGTGGGTCGTCAGGTCGAATTCCGTATGGAAACAATGACGAGGCTGCAGAATCATATTATATATATATATCAAAAAGGGTCTAGGTCGTTAGGTCTTTTACCAGAAAACCTTCGACTATGCCGCTATGCCGCCTTTCAAACACCTCTGGTATTCTATCCGGTGATATGGACATGGGCGAAAGGCCTTTCACTTTTTACATCTCATTACATAGTTTTGACAAATACAACTTTCAAACGGCCCAAAGATGTGGCAGCTGCAGGAATAAACAAGAAACAATGTCAATTTCAATCATGATGGATGCCTTGGCTGTACAGGTGAGGCACAAAATAACATA